ATCATTATTGCTGAATTTTTTCCTTCTCCCCTTGAAAAAAATATTAACAAATTCTTAAAATCAGTTTTTTTATGTACTCGTATCTCTCTGGTTCACGTAAGAACAGTGGTTTTTTTAGGTCTTGATTGATATATAATTCAGTTCCTTTCTTTATGCTACTGGTATCATAGTAAGAAATAATTATGTAAGAAACTATGTAACTATGTAAAGAAATAATTGCATTTCTGTCTGTTTACTCTCGCCCGACAACAAGTGGTAAATCATAATACGAAACCTGGTGAAGGATTGATGATTTTTAAAGTTTTTTTTTGGCCCAGAAGACGGATTTCAACTAAACTGTGGCCGAATTCTTCACTACTGGGATTTATTCGACTAGGCCACGTATCTTTCTCCATTCGTCCTTTAAATGGAGGATAAATAATTATCACATTCTCCCGTGTTCGCTCTCGTAGTATAAGCGTTTAGCACGTCCAGCTAGCAATTAAAACCTCTGTTGTTCAGATTTTAGGTTTTTGGGATTTTTGTCTGCTGGATTATGGAAAAGCATGCAATGTCTGTCTGCGAGGACATTTTAAGGGAACTGGCTCGCATTCACGCTACGCATGCGAAAAGTCATAAAAACTCCCATGCAGCCACTCCGTTCGGCGGGACTTGATCTCGGGGTCGAACTACCAGCGTTCGGCGGCCTTTCCAACCCGGTTACTGGACAGGGTTGCCAATTCCGAGAAAAGCACACTTTATTTTTGTGTTTGTCTACCAACTGCACGATTTTTAATTAAGATAGGGTCTTATCTGTGGTAATCTTATCTGTGTTATCTATCTAACTGCACAAACTAAAGAACATTACCCATATTTTTCACCCCGCTTCCCTTTATAGGCGAAGTTTATCTCAATAAAGGGAAATGATTGGAAAACTATGAGAATTAGGACTTTCTTTTACCTTTCCCTTTTTCCTAAGAGTTTGAATTCTGAACAACTTTCTTCCAAGGGCTGTTATCTTGCATGCTAATCTATTTGCATGTCAGCATATTAACATTTTAGAACACACGTTTTCTGTAAAATAATTCGATAAAATCTTCAGCAGTATCCTATGGAGAAGTTTTATAAAGCTAATATACAGTATATTGATATCAGAATAAAAATAATTAATCAAAAATAATTTTTAATAAAAATGCTGTTTAGCAACAGATATGTAAATTTGAGACGACTGAATTTTTTTTTATCGGTGCTTATTTTTTAAAATAGAACACAGACTCTCATAAAGTGTTAATAAAACATGTTTAATGGCACTTCAGAAAAATCATAACAATGCAGCATTTGTGCTTCAAAAGATTTTCTTTTCTATATAAAAACACAACTCAATTCTCGATATAACCGCATTATAAATTTCACAACCAAAACACTCATGTATGTATGTATGTATATATAAGGCACTATTAATGAAAGATTACGATTGGATATAAAAAATAAGGCACAATACAAATTATATAAGTTGTGAAAGACATCTTTAGTGCAGTCCAAAATTATTACTGCTAAACAAAATTACCAAATAACTAAACACGGAATGGAAAGTTAATTGCTAACGCAATTCACAAAATCACTCCTTCTTGCACTTCGAGAAAATTCATATATAATTTGAAACAAAATGTATCAATTCATCAAACTGAAATCTCTTCAGTGAAAATTAAACATTCTATTATATAAGGTATAGGCATAGTATACCAACTTCTTTTGTTGATTTGGAAAAATTTGTTTTAGGCTGCTGTCTATTTTTGCATCCTTAAATATCAATATTGCTACTTCGTATAGAAGAGAGATATTGAAACTTACCATTTATGATGTTTTTCTACCTATTATTTTAATCAAATCAATGTTTTAAAAAAAATGTAAAATAATCATTCACTATGAAGTAATTTTAAGTTAATAAAAGCTCTCTAATTTTGTATTTTAATAAAATACCTTTTATTGTTGTTTGAAAACTGGAATTTTATTTGAAAACTTCCAAAACCACCCATTCCTTTTTCTTTTTTTTTCTTTTTAAATGTGTTCTAGTTTAGAGCAGTGGTCTTCAAGCTGTGGTCAACGGAGGCAAAAGGATTCGTGAGTTAAATTCCGGGGTTCTGAGGGTCAAAATAAAAATTCGACATATGGCATATATCAAAGAAAATGACATGCAATGTGTTGCAAAGCTAAACAGTTTTCTAATGGAAAATGAATTTAGACAAAATTTAGACGACAGCGGATATAGACGAAATTTAGATGACAGTAAATTTAGACGAAATTTAGAAGACAGTAAATTTAGACGATATTTAGAGACAGCAATGTTAAAATTTATTTAACGGAGCACCTTTTCCAGTTGAAGAAAGCTGCGAGAAAATATTTCACAGAAGAGAATACTAGTGTGACTGAAAAACAAAAAAAGTACGTTCAAGTACTACGATAAATCAGAAGGCTTGTCAATGAAGGATAGGGTAAAATTTACCCACACATCAACAGATTCCACGTTAAAATCTAAATTTAACAAAGGGCAGCTCCTAAAATTTTGATTGCAGATTCATGTAGAATACCTAGAAGTTTCTCATGCAGCTGTAACATTTTAATGTCATTTGGAACAATGTATTTAAGTTACAAAACTTTCTTAACATGCATGGCAACAAAAACAAAACACAGAAACAAATTAAATGCAGAATATGAAATATGACTGCAGATAACATCAACCTAGCAAGACTTTAAGAGTTTATGTTAAAAAAAATGCAATATTTTCGATAGTGTAAAATAAAGTATATATGTATAATATAATATAATGCAAAATATAATGCACTAAATATAATGCAAAGGTAGGTGAAACCTGGGGCACGAATTAATGTTATTAAATGCAACTTATACGAATTTGACATAAAATTTTTTTAATAAAAATGCAGTACTTTAATTCTGTCTAAGTAAAGTACCTATAACATATTGATCTACTTTAATTATGATTTTAAGATGTATTTTTCTAGAAAACCTCACAGTTCTAGGGCTTCCATGAGTTGACAAAGTCTGAAGACCACTCGTTTAGTTTAGTATTATTTATTAGTTACTATGCAATTTATTTAATATTATCACAAATGAAAAAAATTTATATTAAAACTTCGTATTTTTCAAAGTCTTTATTTTCATATTGAAACTAAATTTAAATTTGAACTTCAAAAGTTAAAAGATTTATATCTTAAAAAGTATTTATTAATGCTTAAAAACATGATTTACTTAAAAATATGAGGAGAATTGCCTCACTGAATGATTACAAGAATTTCAAAGCAGAGATGAATTGCTTAAACAAAGAGGTTAGGCATAGATAAAAAATAAGGAAAATGAGTTTATGTATCTATTTAAATGTCTTAAATAGCCAATTCTATTGATTTTACCTAACCTTTCATCAAAAATCACAGTTATTATTATTACCATTATTATTTTGATAAATTGAAGTTGCCTATTCTTTAAAAACAACCAGCTTTCTAAGGAAAAATAAAACAAGGATAAACGGTTTTCTGTAGCTTGGTTGCTGATTTGCTGGATGGATATCAGAGTCATGGAAAATTAATCTATTACTTAAATGAATCGTATGCTAATTTTTATAACGTTATATTCGCAAATTTGTGTTTTAGATAAATTCTGATGTCGCGGATGCAAGATATAGATTACATATTTTACAATATACATAATACAAAATATACAGTTAAAGCACAGTAATTAAAAACATTGAGTTAAGAAGAATAGAAGTTTAAACGAAGTATAAAATAAGTCCTTCGAAAATTAGGCATTTTTTAAAATTTTGCAGTCACAGGTAATGTTAAATGCAACATTTTATAATGAGCTACAAATGCTAGAAGCTCCGATGTGCAGTAGCAAGAGTATTTTCTACAACGTTAGCTCTCAAAGACTGAATTAAAATTAATAAAATGCAGTATGTTAAAATTTATTTATAAGAATTTTGATTACTTGCCGTATGCCTATGAAAAACGCCAAGCAGAACAGAATAATTAAAATGTTTTGTCCTTTTTATACAAAATACTAGCAAATTTATTTAAAATTTAACTCTTAAACACCGATTATCACTTTTAATAAATGCTTTGAGCAGATAAAAAACATACAGAAGGGTTTGAAAGTCACATGATTGCGCATCCTCCCTTTCCCCGCAAATTCAAGCCGTATTTTGCATTAGTAATATCTTAATTTACATCAATTCAGAACAACGAACTATACAATCAACATGAATGAATATAATAAAAAATGCTTTAACTGACAACTTCAAAGAAACTGGAAAAATTAAACATTTCTTGGTTGGTCGACATGTTACTAAATTCTTTAAAAACATCATTTCACGTGACATATAGCTAAATCTCAGTTTTACATTTTCTTTACTGAGCAGTAATCGCTACGTAAATTTACACTTCAAAGTAATTCAGTAATACTAGAAATAATTCAAAATTATCTTGCAAAATATTTGCAAGTTAAAATAATGACGTAGAAAGACGCAGTTTTTGTACAATCACATTAAAGTAATTAAACTGTCTTATAAAAGTAAATATTACATGTGCTTATGTAATGCTCAGTGTGAGTGCTTGAAATACATGTATAGAATATGGGTAGGTGCGAAAGTTTATTTTATTATTTTAGTGCTTTTTTAAAACAGATTTTTCAATTTTAAGCTATCAGTTATATTTTTAAATATGTATCGCATTTATATGATAATATTTTGTAAAATAATTTTATTAAGATGGTTTATGAAGACAATTAAATTTTAAATAAATAATAAAGTTAAATGAAAAATTAATTGCTACAAACATGGAGTATTCTCTTTTGAAATTTTAAGTTAGTAATATATTTTTTAAGTATTAACTATTGTAAATGACTTAAAAACAACCAAACTGCTATCGTAACTGACATTTTTTAAATAAAATGTCAGTTACGTTGGCAAATGAAATTGGATAAAATAATTAAGAAGAGTTTCGAAGCTTGTATTACTTAACACATTACTATGTATTACTTAACACATTAAGTACTCCGTTTTCTGTCCATTTTACATAACTGAGACAATCGACAATTAATGAAAGCATTTAGGATGCTCGTTGTTTCGCCTTTAATGTCTTATTCGAACATAATTAAAGAATTCAACCTGTTGAAACACACTTTCAGTTCTGCAATATATGATAATGTGAAAGCAGTGATTTATTTTTCACAGTCCAGCTTCAAGCACCAAAAATTAGTGCTAAAAAAGATGCTGCGGTAAGAACCATAAAGAGTTCACATTTATATTAAACACAGCTGTTCCCTAGCTTATGATTAGCTCTTTTCTTGTAGGTAAACGAGTCATTGGAGAGCTTGCCTCTATAAAAGCTAAACCGTGTAAAATCTGAAAGCAAGACCGCTTCATGCGTCACACCATACGGTTGTTGACTTGATACTCATTTTGGCAGAAACTAGGTTTCGGTTCGACGTCTTCAGTTCGTGGACGGAATCCGCTGACGGTTGATCAGGCGGTTGAGACGGCGGACGGCCGGTTCAGTTTAGGCTGGTGTCGCTTCATATGTAGCGCGAGATGATCCGACCGGGCAAAAGCCCGTTCGCACACCCGACATTTGAAGGGCTTGTCACCGGTGTGCTTCCGCGTGTGGCGGGTCAGTTCATCTGATCTCGCGAATCTCCAGTCACATTCGCTCCACTGACATTTGTAAGGCTTCTCACCTAAAAAAGAAAAGAGAAGTCGAGTTAAGAGATGCTAAACTGTAATTGCTTTACATGACAATGAGATATCATCTCAAGATAATTAACTAAATATTGGTAAAAAGTGAAACACGATATACGAAATGCTTCAAATGAGTTTTATAATTGTGGCTGTATTTTTTATACTGTCCATTTTTTATATCTGAATAAATGTATGTATCTTTTTCATAAATACAGCTCCGTGTAATCTTTTCAGTTCAAGAAGAAATGTCTTGAAATAAGAATATGGAATCAAAATAATTTTAATAGGAACTTGAATGTCAGCTAAAAAACTTGAATTATTTTTCTTTAAAAATAAAATTACAGTATTTTGGATTTCACGGTTTTAAACTGTTCAAAAACTGAACTCAAACACCAAAATAGGAGTTTTATATTAAAATAAAATTCTAGATCATTTTGTTAAGGATCAGAATTTGCTATTATCTCGCTTTTTTTTTTTTTAAGTAATAGTAGTGGTAGTAGTAGGCTACTAAACTAAAATAAACTCGACGGCCTAAATTTCCCATAGACAGCCATGGCTGTCAGTGCTCTGTTATCTGCTTTCTAGACCGTGGGCTCCGGTGTGCTTGTGCATCTTTGTCTGGACAAGTGGTCATCCTGTCGCAAGACCCCCGGTGTTTAGTCCCCAAGAGAAAAAGGCTACTACTATTAGCCTAGACTAGTAGGCTACTACTACTATAGGCATTTTAGTAGGCCTTTTTAGTAACATTTTAAAGCATAAAATTTACATTCCCTCCATTACTTCAGTGTTTAATGCATTAAATTTATATAAATACAGGAAAACGTTTCACAAGAAATCTATGAATTAGTATCTTTCTACAAGAATCTTTTGCAGTAAGAATAAAGTTTCTGTAATGTTCGTGTTTCTGACTGTAATAACAACAACGTTAATACTTATTTTCTGGAATCGCTTTCACTTTATTATCTTTTATGTTACAACCGAAGAAATTTTAAGTTAAAAGTACGAAGTTTGTTTTTTTGCAATATTAAGATGCTGATATTCATTAAAAAATTGTTGTTGTTTTGGAATATGATTCTATAGCACAGAAATCAGCATTTCATTTACACTGTATAATGAAATATGTATTACCCAATAAAATCTTTCCCGTTTTTAAATTTGCTGATTTCATGAAAACTGCGAATGAAAAATCAGCTTAGAGTTTATTGACAAAGATAATAAAGGCTTAATATCCATAACAACAGGTATGCATACTGTTTAAGAATATGTAGTTCTCACTCAGTTTTCCCCAAGCATTGACCCCAAGCAAGTTCTTTGATATTTGAAAGAAGTAACGTCAAGTAAAACAAAATAATGCTCCATTTGCTCCCCTTATTTGACGAAATGTTTGAATGGTTCATTAAATTTACTAGAAGGAATTTTATTTTGTGACCACAATAATAAAGGAGGCTGACTATTAGAGGCTTTGAAACTTAAATAAAGTGATTTTTAACCAACGTAAGAAATTTCGGATAAAAACAGCGCATATAGTTGCATAATTTTATCGGTCTGTAATGAATTCAAAGATTTCTTCGCCATTCATTGAATTGTTTAATTATGGAAAAGCATTCGAATATCATCTGTCTAAATAAGATGATGCCTTCGTTGAAGTCATTTTAAGGGAAAATGGCTTATAATCAAGTTACCCATGAGAAAAAACAAAAAAAATTCCCAAACAGCTAGGTCATTTGCCAGGATCTGAGATCGGGTCGAACTACCAGTGCTCAGCTGTGTTATCGGTTAGCCGCTGATGAGTGCTCGAATTTCGAAGGAAGCACAGTTAATTTTTTAAGTGTCTACCAACTGCACGATTTTAAATTAAGAAGTCATATCTGTATATCAGTTGCATAAGGCTGATGAACAAAGCTCATAATTTTATTCTCTTCCTCTTAATAAGGGAAGGCTATCCCCCCCCAAAAAAATATAAAAAATTGAATCCGATGAAATAAATAGTGTTCATCTGTTTTACAGCTTCTCTGTTAATGGGCACTTTTCTCTGTTGAATAAGGCTGAAAATTTTCAATCTCCCAGCATTTTACAACGAAATTAACTATACTTACATTTCTGTAACTAGCAACACAGCATTCAAATGCATAATAGCAATATATTTTGTAGCTGCTGACAGTTTTTCGTTTTTGAATAAAATTAAAACTGTAAATTTTCGATTTCTCAATATACTGCAACGGAAAGATATTTATTCTTCAATACATAGTTAACTAAGTTAATAGCAAATTATTATATATAACTAAGTTTATAGCAAATTATTATATATAAAAATTGCTGTTAATTTTTTATTACTATTTCTAAACTTTTTTGTTGAAGAAAACCTTTAAGCCCTTCAGCACTAAGCACAGTGTATGAAAGAAAAGATTAATAAATAATAAAGAGAAAATTTACCTCCTTTATTTTATTTTATTTTTTTGTGTTTTGAAGCTTTTACTAATACAAAACATTATTATAAAATGAGAAAATAAACAAAACAATTAATATGTGCACTTAAGCTCCAACTCTAAATTCTACTATTGTTGTGCATTTATTTATTTACTTATTTAATTTATCTCTTCTTACTGCAGAGAAAATTCCTTCGCCATACCCCTCTAGACAGTTTCAGACGACGTCGTTCCATGGAATACGTCTTATTATCTATTTTTTTTTTTTTCTTTCTTTCTTTCTTTTACAGGCATATCTGATTGTCGTCTCAGTAAAGAGGGAAGTAACCTCGGAATAATAGAAATCTGATCGTCATCTGGTTTGATTTGGTTTATTTGATTACATCAAAGCATTCTAAGGCTCTCTGTCTAAGGGGAGGGATGCCTTCGTGGACGACTTTCGAAAGGAAACTGCCTTTGAAGATACTTTATTTATATATTACGAAATTTGGGGCAGAATGCAAGCAGTCAACTACATAATAAATTTTCAAAAACTCACCTAATCAAAACGCAGCGCTTAAAAATATCCATTAATAGAAAGAAATATAAGAAGTAAAATTAACGCGTATTACTAAAATTTCATTTAAACAGCATTTTAAATTTATAATCCTCCTAAACTTTTAAGAGAGATAGACGAAAAAAAACTTTTAAGAGAGATAGACGATAAAAGACGAAATTTCACAAAACAAATACGTTATTTTTTTTCTTTATGCTATTGCTCAAAAAGGGAAGTTTACATCGAAAAATTGCAAACGAGAGAGGAAAATTTTTTTTCCGTTTAGTGGTACTTACACACAAATTGAAAAGCAGAAACATTTGCGCACAGTTAACATCATTGCTGGAAGGGTAAAAGCAGTTAGTATAGTTTAGTAGCAGCTGTGCACAAAACCACGTCTTGATTATCTTTCGATAACATGGAAGAGCAACTTAAATTATAAATTTGCTTTACAAAATTTGAAACTACTGAGCTGCACAAATATAGATTTTAAACTTTTTTTTTTTTTTTTTTTTTTTTTTAATTTTTTGTATTATGCATGTGCTAACGTTCAAAGAATAGTAAATACCTTAAGGAGTTAGATACCTTTAAAATATCAAAATATCCTTGAACTACAAAACATTTTGAAGCTCAGTATAACAGTTTAGAGTTGTGAAATTTGTATCCTTATTTCGATATCTTTAATAATGTAGCTGATACTTTTTTATATTCTAAATGTTAAAATGCTTTAAATAAAATACATCTTTTGACATCCACATAATACTGTAATATGTGCTGCGCGCTGCATTATATAAAAAAATCAGTGTTTTTAGTTGTTCTTTCTTTCCTTCTTTTTCTTTTTTTCTCTCTTCTTCTCCCCAATCGAAAAATAATGCACAGGTAAAATATGACCTTGAAAATAAATATAATTATATTTTCTTATGAAATAACACTTTTTTATTTTCATTACTTCTTCATAATCGATTTTTTTCTACAAAATTAATGATAATTTCTAAAATTTTCAGGCGAGAGGCATAGTAGCGCATTTTAAAGTCAGTTAGGGTTTACACAGTTGGTCAAATTTTTCCGAACTTCTGACCAGTGGTTTCGGAGAAATCGTGCACTCGAGCAAGAAGATTATATGAAATATGTACTATCAGAAAAGGAAAAGGAAAAATAAACTATTTAAAAAAAAGTTCTGTCAGTAAGTCATAAGTCTGATTGTTTTTTTCTGACAAGCTGTGCGGAAGTGTCACTTGTTGTCCATTCACATGTTAAAATATTTCATGGCTCCGCAAGGATGATTTGCGCGAAAGTCCCTTGTGTGGAAAATGCTATCTGCGCCAAGTGCCACATCATCCTTCTTTCTACTGTGGAAGGCGCCATAAGAATGTATGAAAAGGCTTAGGTATTGCATATTAAGGGTAGTTATTGTAAAGGATGACAAAATTTCTAAGGAATGGATTTTAAGTTATGGATGAGAGATGAAGAGAAAAAAAGAACTGGGGTAACAGTTTGTTATTTTGCTTTAAAGTTTTAGAACACGATTCACAGTTGTAAGCGTAAATTTGATATTTTCAATACAATTTGATGAGAAAAGGATTTGAGTTCATTTCTGAAATTAGTTTATAAGAGACCACCTATAACCAAATCAAAAGTAGCCAGGCTGCTTTGTAACTGCGCTAGGATGAATCAAGTTTAGTGGAATAAGGCTCAGGTGTCGGAAACTTTCCCTTTATCGGGAGGAGGGGGTAAAAATGGACCGATATTATTATATCAACGTATTAAAAAAGAGCCTAATGTCTAGAGCTTTGAAACTGGGAATGGAAAGCAATTTAATTTTTTAACAGGACAATGATCCGCAGTGTTATTTTAAGAAAAGAAAGGAAGGGTTCTTATACTATGCATGGAACCTATCAAAACTCCTCATCAGCCACTGAAGTAAATTCTATGAGGTCATTTGAGAGTCGAATCAAGAATACCTCTAAACGATCATCCCATTTCTATTAAGAATATGTTAAAAAAGCATAAAGTAAAAGAGTGGAATGAAGGTCTATAT